AAGTATTAATCTATTGTTTTTTTCATCGCCAGTTCAGTTAACACAAAATACAGAGATCTAAATAACCTGAGAACAAACTATAAAACTAATAAACTTTTATTTAAAAAAAAACAAACTTAAAATAGTGTATTATAGGGCGTACGAAATAAAGTGATAAACAGTTCCTAAATTTTAATCATTTTAAAGACCTAAGCTATAAATAAATCGTAAAGAAATAATTACGTAAATCGTGGCCTTCACAAAGAAAAAAAATCCTGATACTACTTAAACCTTTCCTATGATGTCTAATGTTATTTTTCAACACTACTTATATATATGCCTGTAATTTAGTAACCATGTATTCTTTGACAGATCAAACCAAAATAACCAAACATATACATAAAATTTCTTTGATTTTTAAAACAACAATAATTTGCACTACAAAATTGCGATTCATTCATGATCAAACTATATAGTTCAAACGAAAAAAAATATGCAACGAAATTACTCTGTAGGGTGTAACAAGTATGAGTAGGATATGCTGATTCTTACCAACATCTATCACTCTGTGGTAGATGTTGGTAAAAATTAGCATATCCTACTCATACTTGTTACACCCCATTTTATTTCTGTAATCAAAGAAAAACTGTCAAGGTTAGTATTCAAGAAAAAACTTTTGAATAAACTTGAAATGACCGACACTACTTAAGTGACAAAAATAAAACTGATTGTTGACTATGATTTCAGAAATGTCCAGATTTGTTTTCCATATGATTAAAAGTTACATATAAAATTTATTTTATCTATCTTTCTTCTAATAATGTGTCATTTTTGTTTAGTTGTAGTTAAAATCATAAGTTATAATTCCAGTTGCATCTATTCCACAAAATGCCAAATGCATTGGCACAAACCAAAAAGGTAATTAATAGTATAAATACGAGTGATCAGAATTACAGACAAAATTATAATCAAAAGATATATTCATTCAGATGATATAATGTATAGAGATTCTCAGGGACTAGAGATTCAAGAATACTACAACAATATGAGTGAAAACCATTATTCAGATAATAGCATATAAATGCTACAAATGACTACCTTTCACAGTTCTAGTACCTATAATGGCTAACCCTAATTGTATCACAAAGTTAATTACTGGCAGGACAGTATCATCTGTAAAAGATTCTTTGGCTCGTAGGATCAATCCTTCATTTTCTCCCAGAACGTAGATATCTTGAATACCATTCTCTAGTCTTTCTCCAGGCATCAGAAAGAAAGATATTTCACCCTATTAATGAAAAAAAAATCAACTACAAATAGGTGCTTATAAAACATAAGTCTTGACAAAATCAACAATGATATGTGTGCAAGGAAAGATTCAGATATTTTACTTATTTCGTGACAGATTTATCTTATGAAGAAAACATATTGTTAGAATTCCACAGGTTCTTGTTTATGCTACTAAAAACTGTGTGTTTTACCACCAGTTAAAGGAGACAAACTAAGAGCAATAGTTCATTATTTCACTTCCTTACATATAGAAGGGGCTTATGATATAATAGACACAGTTATATTTAAAACATTAAACATACTTTAACCAGTTTCTTCCGGCCTAGCTGAGGTTTCCCATCTTCACTAACAGGATCAAGAATAATGCAGTACTGGCGTTTAGATAACGTTGTAATAGGTACAACACCAACTACCTGCTCGTATACTCCCGGTATGTAAGTTTCTGTGTCAACCATTTTAATCAACCATTCCTCTCCATTCTTTCTTCTGACTCCCAGGTCATCACAAAATGTACAAGTTGCCCTTACTTGTACTGCTTCCTGGAACATATTGAAGTTTACTAACTTAAGTTTGATATGTTAGTGTGTGGAATAAATAAACAACATAGACGAAAACATTACACTTTGAAAGTTGTACAGCACAAATTTACACCTGTTATAAAAACAATAATGTATGATGTGAAAATTAATTCCTAGGTGAATTTTGATGAATGGCCACAAAACCAACTGTGAGATCAACAAAAGCACATACCTTTGTTATGTAATTTAGCTAAGATTACTAGGATTTTCATATTTCACTTAATGTTTTCTTTAAAAACACTTACTATATGTATTCTGTAGGCATTTGTTTTGAATTTTAAACTTTCCAATACTGACACAAGTTTTACTTAATGAACAATGTACATTATCTGTGTGCAGCAGGAAAGAACTAAATAGTTTCAAAAAAATATGCTATTTACGTATGGATTTCATGTTTCTGAAATTGAGTCTTATATGTTGATGACAGTAACTAACCAGATTTTCACACAATCATGTATTGCATAACAAAATATAATTGATTAAAAAAAAGGTCAAATACCGTGAAAACAGCAAGGCAAGCTAAAAACATTAATTAATTTATATAAAAGTTTAATCAATAAGTGTTTCAGTTTATTATCTTTGGAATATGTGACATGGAGGATCATAAAATTACAGAATTATTATACATGTGTAAGTTTCCATATTGGTGTTTACATTAAAATATAAGAATAGAAAATATATTTAGTGTTCTGTTTCTTTTCTTTCCAACTCACAGTAGTTACCTTTTCTGTCAAAACATATGCATTAACAATGTCAACAATTTCTTCATAAGCTCCAGGCAGATAAGCACCTGTCTTCCTGACAAGCCACTCTTCTCCACAGACCCTTATCTTTCCATCTCTGTCTCTTGTCTCTATGCGAGCCCGAAGTTTTAAAGCCTGGTTTGGTTTGATTACAAAAGCTTTCACTGTTTCCACCACTTCAACCTCCTTACGAGGAATGTACGTCCCTATGTTACAAAATAAATATCAAATTCCATTAGTTGCTGATACTGTACTCAACAATATTATTATCATCTTTCAAATAAGACAATAATAGTCACAATTTCTTAAGCTATAAGTTACAATTTTATGATGGAAAAAGTTAATTTAATAAGATAATAACATTTAAATCATAACATACTTCTGTTGTATCAAATATATTCAAGTTAAAAGGCTGAAGAGATAAAAAAAAAAGATTTTGTCATATATATGGTTATTTAATAGTAACATATTCTTGTAACTTGTTTCTTTTATAGAGGGAGCATAGTGATGATGATTAAAAGCTTAATGTTGGCCTTGAACATCTGAAAAGTTCTAAAAGACTTTACATCAGTTTCTAGTAAGTTAGAAGGTAGATTATACACATTGGGTTCAGTGAAACATAAAGAAGACAGTAGACATGTTTCTAGCTGGTGGAGGTGAATTAATCAGTTGTGAAGAGGTACAAGTAAATTTATTCTTTATATTAGATAGTTTAGTTAGCATCACTTGTAAAGTTGGCCTACAAGTTTAAACTTGTAAAAACATTAAGGAAAAAAAATTAACTAATTGGTTGTCATTGACGTGGACTAGACTCTGAATTATATTCACCAGATAATTTAAAAGAACCCACCAATGAAAGAACAAGGTTACAACAATATGTTTCCTAAAACTTTTAACCACTAGTATGGTTAGAAAGATGTTCTTTCTGGATGGTGCTTTTCTGTAGTTGACTTAGATGTGTGAACTGATAAATGTATCTCGTGTAAACCTGTCAGTGAGTGATTAATAAACATAAACAAAACAGATTTGTTTTTAACTGCCTCAGTAAAAGTTTCAAAAGAGAAAAGAGATATAACTTTTAACTACACTTTGACATCCGTAGCTACTGACGATGGCACCCTTTCAGTATTATTTTCAATAAGATCAGGATAACTCAAGTCATATTACACTAGACATATGCAAAAAAAAATTGGGTAATGAAAACATAATAAGACAACTTTTTAATTTTGTTTATGAATGTTTTAGCGACATGAACCTTACTTTATTACACATGTAAACCCAGTCTTGGGCAAGTTAAGAGAGAGAGATATTTAAGTATATATTCAGTCATAATACAAAGGAACATATTTTATAATTTTTTGGTTTCATTTTAGGCAGACTTTGTGTAAAAATAAAATCTCATTTTCAAAATAGTTAACATTATTCAAAAGAGTTTTCATTAAAAAATGGCATTCAATACATTATAACAGTGGTTCCCAACCTTTTTCACTCCATGTAGTGGTAAAATCTTTGTCAAAAACTTGGGACCAATCAAATATTGTTTCCTAATTTACCTTTTTCAAGAAGCTTTCAAGTGAAAGCCATGAGGCTCAATTATTTGATGATAAACTAAGAAGGACACAGCACTTTTTACCTACTTCTAACACAAATTATAAAGTTCACAATAAATTAATCTTTCACAATACTTTTTTCTTTATTTATTTTCTCTTCTTTTTTTCTCTGGACATTTCTACAGACCAGAAAAAAAACATTCATGGATCGGTGATAAGGAACCACTGCAATAGAAGACTTTTATTAAAATGTCTTTTTATTAATGCCCGATTTATCCAAAGTGGACTTCCATAAAAAACTAGTTTATAAAATACATTAGTTTAACTATTTCACACATTTTAGAGTAAACTTTATTAGATTACATTTAAGAGTATTTAAAGTAACACCCCCCATGAAATATCACAATTCAGGACTCTAATAAGTAATCCTACACCACCCTGCCAATAAGAAATGTTAATCTAAAATAGACGAGTTACTCTTCACAGTTAACCTTTTGATTAATAAAAAAAAAAACTATACCTGTGATGCATCTAATGAGTAATTTATTCTATCAATCAGTTCATATAATTAAAAAAAATAAAACTATTACAACCTGGGCCTTCAAACAGCCACTCATCACCAGCAACCTTTTTGTCGTCTCCATCCTCGAAATCCCTGAGAGCTCGAAGCCTGAGTGCTGTGTTTGACGGTACAACTTTTAAAAGTGTAATGTCCTAAAAAATTGATTGTTAGAAACTTTTACAAAATGTGCACACATTATATATTTACATTTGATTATGCACGAACTGCCGAGGAAAAAAAACTTCTAAATACTTTAATATCTCTTGTTGTCTTGACTAGTATTAATTTAATGTGTGAATAAAATGATGAATTTCATTATTAAGTTCATTCATCACAGCTGGAAAACTACTCAGACAAAAACTTAATAAATAATGCTTTTTCTGTCCATTAATGTTGAGTTTGTCAATTAAAACAAGCAACATTTGTGTCCCACTAATTTTGTTATCACACTAACAAAACGTTGTAAACAAATTTTCATTGAAGATTAAAATCATAGCTATGGAATAATTATTTTATTTAAAAAGAAAAACAGACTCCATACACTGTTAGAGCTTCTTGACAAAACACTACACAATAACCACTGATTCAACAATGCCTCCTGGCTAATCAACTTAAAACAATAAAACTTCTGAAAGGACACAATGAATCCATAAATATTAATTAGCATGGGACACACACACAAAAAAACTAGTTGAATTAAAACTTCCAACAAAAAACTATTAAACACCTATAACGAATCTCTGAGTTATGGTACCTTGCTTTAATAAAAGTGTGGGAAATACGAAGCCAACCTCAAGTTAGGTTCCAAATGAATTAACACTAGGTTTTGAGATTTGATTGTTTGTACTTTAGGTCAGAGAAATAAAATATTCATATTATGTAGAAAGATATATATATTTCACATCAGTTTTAGTCATGTAACAACCATTATATCAGTGTTACACCTATGGAATACCAATACAAAATGAAGAAAAGAAGATAACACATCAATTTCTTCTAGCCCTAATCATTGCTACAACTCATAAAATCTTTGTAGTTTAGTGTGGTCTTGTTAATGTGATTAGTGGTACTATTTATTGATATTTATTTCATAACACAACAAAAAATTTTAAGATAATGTAAATACTTTTTCCATTTTGAATAAATATCATATAATTTCAACTTCCTCTGAATCTTGTTGGGGGACCTAAATAGTTCCGAGACCCCTCATCTGAAACGTTGTATGGTTAAACTTCCTTAAATTAGGCCCTAATAAAGAAATTACTACAGCTGGTATGATCTGCTAATGTGTGTACATCACAGGTTTAACCATGCTTTATTGAGAATCACAAACAGTAACAACTATAACTACAACATAAATGGTGTTTTTGCCTGATTAAGTTAGAATTTCTTACTACTTTTTTATTGACTTACATATATGATAAGAATATTTAAATTACAAGGAATTTTTATGTTTCAAAAACATTTATCTCCTTAATTTAATTCTTTATAACTTAATTTTAACACCAGAAATACAATAAAACTTCAAAATTCCAATTATCTTGATCATACCCAAACAATTCTTTATATATTTTACAGTAAATGCTTACCACATGAAGAGACTCTCCAGGATAAAGAGGAAATGGTTCCTGCTCCAATCTAATTTCTAAATCTGCATGCTGTAGCTTGACCTGACCAGCAGCATCATATTGGATTGAATTATCAACGTCATGCACCACAGGATTCTGGATGACACAGTAATGACGAGGAGGAACGATCACCATTCTCCCAGGACCAAAAATGATCCTTTTCATAAAGGTATGAGAGCACAGACAATTAAACATACACCTTTTCAATCTGCTGTCTTTTAGGTTAAAATAATTGAGTAGGTCACAGATGCAGTAATAAAGATGAAAGTATACAGACACACAACCTAGTTAATTTATTACTGATAGCTGAACTGATGAATAAACACTGATAAGCTGGAAACTAAATGAAATATGCAAATTTGGTCCAATATTTATTACTTTAAAAAGGAATAATAACCATGAATGACAAAGTAAAAATAACAAACTTAATTACTAACTCAGGATCTCTCCCTCAACCAGAGGCAGAGTAATGTTTTTGTGGTAGCAGGACAAGGAACAAGCAATTCTGATTATTGCTTGTTGGAGGTGTTACATACATTGTTGGAAAGTCTGGAATTTGCTGTATCCAAAATATGCAATACATATTTCAATCGTGAGTTATGAGTAGTCAAAAAGACACAGGGTTTTGTAGTTGCCGCACCAACTTACTAGCAGTAGTCACAAACACACAAATTGTTTACTTTTTTTTTAGTCTCAAATCAAAGTGACCTTCCTTCATTGTCTGTTTGAGGTTGGAGATCTTGTTCTTGATCTTCTGACCTGATGAAAGGCTACTAATACTACTGTCACTACTGTCCCTGTCAGCACCATCAAAGTGACCTTCCTTCATTGTCTGTATGAGATTGGAGATCTTGTTCTTGATCTTCTGACCTGATGAAAGGCTACTAATACTACTGTCCTTGTCAGCACCATCAAAGTGACCTTCCTTCATTGTCTGTATGAGATTGGAGATCTTGTTCTTGATCTTCTGACCTGATGAAAGGCTACTAATACTACAGTCCTTGTCAGCACCATCGAAGTGACCTTCCTTCATTGTCTGTTTGACGTTGGAGATTTTTTATTTTGATCTTCTGATCTGATGAAAGGCTACTAATACTACTGTCACTACTGTCCTTGTCAGCACCAAACCTATTTTTGTGTGCCACTCCAGCGTCTTTGGGCTTGATGGATGGATTTTCCTCAACAAGGGTTGTCAAAAAGTCTATGTTTCAAGTTAAACATCTCAGAACCTTGCACATGCAAGTAATCAAGAGAACAATGCTGATTGATGATGACATGCCAAAGTTTCAGTCATGGTCAGCAGGGCTTGGAGCTGTCTGCTGAAGATCTATTGTGCTTTGGTCTGAAAAACAAATGAAATGAAGAGGGGAAGAAGAAGAAGACTAACATATCAAACCCATCAGTTACACAACAAGAAGTGCTATCCTTAACTCTGAGGCTTCTACTGATGGTGTGGCCAATCATAGCTCTATTAATGTTTGTATGATTTTGTAACTGTAAATTGTAATCATCATTTCTCATCATATGCTAAATCTTTTATAAGTTTCACCCAAATCAGATAAATCTGGCATTTTTTTTACATCTGATCCTCGAGGTGCTTCTGGTTGAGAGAAAGTTAGATCCTGTGTTAACTATTTCAACAGAAATGTTATTGAAAGCATGGATTATTTACAATACACTTGCCACTTCTTCTCAAACTCACATTAATCCACTCCAAATTTATAAACTCAGCCAACACTCTTATTCATTATATTAACTATCAGAAATGCTGAATTTTGTGCACCCAATAACAATTAACATTCTGCACAAAATGCATTGTCTCATTCATAGAACTAATTGTGTATATTTAGTTATCATCATATTTTGTAATGAGCTTCTAATCAATTAAATATAGCAATAAAATTTAATTCAGAAGGTATACTCATTTTTCACAAATAGAGCTAACCTACTATAGTCTTACAACACCAAGTATTGGAAATGTTTTAGTAGTTAAGCACAAAGCTAACAATGGGCTATCTGAGCTGTGCCCACCACTGGTATCAAAACCTGATTTCTAGTGCTACAAATCTGCAGACATACCACTGAACCACTGGGAGGCATATTGGAAATTAAGAGGCATAATAATTATGGTGAAAACAAAAAGGAATATTCAATAGCTATACCACATGAAATTCTTTTAGGCAAGATTAGAGTAAATTAATCATTACATCATTTGAAAGGGTTTGACCTTCTGAGTCCAAACCTGTAATTAGATCTCAACTTGGTCAAGAGATGATGGAGCTATGAGCTAAAAGTTTGTACTTGAAAAAAAAGAAAAAAACTCGGCCATTCTATGAGCTGCTATGCAATGGTTAATAAGACATAAGTACATATGTTTGTTTTCACATTTCTCTTAAACTTGTTCATTTTGTAAAAAATTGTTTTTGTAACAAAGCAAAAGTTCTCTAAACAAGGATTAAATTTAGTAGCACAAGAAATTTTATTACAACATGTATATTAACACAAGGAACACACCATGACCCTCTAATGGTTTCAATTTTATCAGAACACGTACATTAACACAAGGAACACAGCACGATCCTCTAATAGTTTCAATTTTATTACAACACATACAATAACATAAGGAACACACCATGACCCTCTAATGGTTTCAATTTTATTATAACACGTACATTAACGCAAGGAACACACCATGACCCTCTAATGGTTTCAATTTTATTAGAACACATACATTAACACAAGGAACACACCATAACCCTCTAATGGTTTCAATTTTATTACAACACGTACATTAACACAAGGAACACACCATGACCCTCTAATGGTTTCAATTTTATTACAACACATACATTAACACAAGGAACACACCATGACCCTCTAATGGTTTCAATTTTATTACAACACATACATTAACACAAAGAACACACCATGACCCTGTAATAGTTTCAATTTTATTATAACACGTACATTAACACAAGGAACACACCATGACCCTCTAATGGTTTCAATTTTATCAGAACACGTACATTAACACAAGGAACACACCATGACCCTCTAATGGTTTCAATTTTATTACAACACATACAATAACACAAGGAACACACCATGACCCTCTAATGGTTTCAATTTTATTATAACACATACATTAACGCAAGGAACACAGCACGATCCTCTAATAGTTTCAATTTTATAAGAACACATACATTAACACAAGGAACACACCATGACCCTCTAATGGTTTCAATTTCATTACAACACATACATTAACACAAAGAACACAGCACGATCCTCTAACAGTTTCAATTTTATCAGAACACGTATATTAACACAAGGAACACAGCACGATCCTCTAATAGTTTCAAATGTGTTCATTGTTGTTGCACACCAGATCATTATCTGCACTGGTGTATAACTGAAGAGACAGATTATCTTCAGTGACATTTGAATGTTAGTACGCAGTTATACACCATTCATGACTATACAAGTTTAACTTTTTTTTTGGAATGTCTTATCTTCACATTTTTGGATTACATTTTAAGTGTACAATGGTAAATATGTTCTTTTTTGGCATTGAAAAGTCATCTTGATAAATCTGAAACATCACTACTTCTGTTTGCTTGTTTGTTTGACGTTAAGCATAAAACTACACAATGGGATATCTGTGCTCTGCCCACCATGGGTATCAAAACATGGTTTCTAGCATGCTACTGTGTCACTGGGGGTCACACTACTTCTGATGATTCATTCTATCTGATGAAGTATTACGGAGCTCATGTTTTATATGGTGGCTCATTACCTGTTCTTGAATTTAAAATGCAAGTGCTTTAAGTCAAAGCCTGTATTTTAAGTTAAGATTCCAACTATTACCTGAACAACTGTTTGAGAAGTATCGCACATATTTCATTTATCAAGTCACCTTTGCTATAGCCTACAAAATATGGTGGTTAGATTGTTATAAATTCAGGGAATTTAATATGTAAAAAAAAAAGTGTAACATAATACTTTTTACACAGCACCAGTCTTAATCAATAACTTAGTATCAATAGCACTAAATACTAAAGATAAATTGACATCAATCTCATTAAATATCTGTATGTATGTAAAAATCTGTGGAACAGAGAATTGCAGAGTCCCATTAATGTCTTCAAGGCCATCAGATAAACTGTTATTTTATGATCATCTTTTCGAAAGGTCTTTGACTACCTTCTTGTTTATCAAAGAACAAAACATATTCAATGGTAAATTTTCTCATATTTACTGCTTTCATCATAAGTAAAAACCAAAAAAAAATATTTAAATGTACTGGAAATACTTAAGTACAAGACAAAGTTTTACATATTTTTTTTGTAGTTCAAGTTTTGTCTTATTCCAAAGATATCAAATATGTATAAATGTCGTTTTTTAAAAATATCCTATCATGTTTTCATATGACAACTGCAAACTTATGACAGGCCTATCCATGACCTAAAAACAAAACAGTTTTTTGGGATTTATGTTTCAATAAACCATTCATTCTCAGATAAGGTAATAAAAATAGTATGCAGCTTGATTTTAAAGGACAGTGTTAAATGTAAAGACCTTCTTGCTGCAAGCTTGTCTAGTTAGGTTTTATTTTTTCATATAATTAAAAAACCTAGTGTTGCAATTATATGTAAATAAGATATATGTTTTTTTAATTCTTTACCTTTCATTGTTTTTCCGAATGTAGTTTTGTGGTCCAACTTCGACTCTTGTTACATTAGTTGTCTGGTCTAACACGTGCAAGTAGTAATATGGGGGAATATGGTAGATGCTATCATCATCACTTTGGCATTTTAAATCTTGCTTTGTTCCTGCCATCTTAGCATATGATAACGGAAACTGTTCCATTCCATCAAACTTTACAATAGAAATTAAAAACAAGTATTTAAAATTATCCAATGCCCAGTTTTTAAATATATATATACATGTGAATATAAAAACTAATATTAAAACCAAGGAAATTTGCATGCAGAATAAATTAAGTTGAGGAGAGTTATGAGACATAAATACATTTTTTATTAAGTTAAAATCACACCTCCACATACTGCCACAACACTATAGTTATATTCTTCTTTCAAAGTAGCTTAGAAAGTGTCTTTCACAAGTGAATTGAAACTTTTTATTCTGCTCTTGCCTTCATAAACCCAAAAATATTGTCTAAATCAAACCAAAAAAATCAGAAGTCCATTAAAAGTATGGTTCTCCACCAGTTTTCCCTCTAAGCTGCATGGCCGCAGAATAACCACTCAAGTGCTGTGCATTTAATTATTCAAGTTGCACACATCCTCAGTAATGGTGAGCAGTCTCAACACATTGACGGCCTGAATGACCCTGGCAGGTCGATAGTCCTAAAGCCCAAATAACCAACTGGTAGCATTGCAAAGTGGCCTAATGATCCAATAGGGTTGATGGTCTAAAAATACCATCACCCTCAAAAAGAAACTAGTTGCACACATCCAAGCATTGCCTTGATACTGGTGCACATAAAAAAATAATTTTGCATATGGATTGAAAAAAATTAGAAGGAATTGGTCACCCCAGATTCTTCTTCATGAGTTTTTACAGGAAACAATTACCATTAACAAAATATATAAAGAAAATGTCTAAAATTCAACAATGAAACATATAATTTACCGATATCTAACTGTTCAAGTTTAAAGGCTAAAACATAAATCTTGCATGAATGCACAATGCTCAATAATATTACATATAATGCTTGGAGATGGCTT